ACAAGGGAATTATGGATCTAACACAGACAAGGTGGCGAACCCATGCTTCTTGGCACCCTACTGCCAAGAAGGTAGGAAAAATATCCTCCCAAGCAGTAATAGGCACCTATATACTCACCCTATCCCTTACTCCCTGGTAGTAGTGGCAGCAAATAACACCATGTTGAATAAGGACAGTGAAACAGAGTGGACCAGTTTTAGTAGAGGTATTATTCTTTTGCAAACCTATGAAAAGACTGCGTCTGGTGGAAAAATGGGTCCCCAATAAGAGAAAAGATTTGAGTCACCTGCTGACACTCCGCATGGATAAATGCCTTCAATCGTAGTCATGTCTAATGCTGAATCTTGGTTCCAAGGTTTGGGCCTTTCAGAGGTGGCCGGGGTACTGCGAAGGACCTGACCTCCCTTTCAGGGGCATGGATCTACCTTTCAAGAGTTTGTTGGGATGTTTTCTCTCTCCTACAAGCTCAAATTCAAGTATCACTTCAAGGTGCTGTTAATTCCAAACCTGCTAACCCAGACAGGATGGAGGATTCTTTACCCTGACCTCTGCTGTCTGTTTCACAGTCTTTATGTTTAATGGTGCTCTCAAAAATATTCAACCCAAATCAGAGCCCTTTTTGCTATGAAGGAGAATGTCAAACATACCTACTTGGCAAAATGAACCAGATGAGCCATCTCCTCAGTCTTTACCATGAGCTAAGGCTATATTTGTTCCTACTGCAAAGGCCTACTCTCATTGATAACTCAGCAGCATCTCTTCCTTGTTCTCCTTCCACTTTTGGCCTCACTTGGAAGCCATAAAAGTGCCATTCTCAAAGTGCTGGGTTTTGGTTGTAGCAGTGTTGGTCTAAGGACACAGGCAGGCAAGCTTCTTTGAGTAGACGTGATTTTTTTTATTAGACCAACTGAGTAGTTGTCAAAAAGTTCTTGGCAAGCTTTCGGACACAGTCACCCTTCAGGCAAGGGGACTGTGCTGTTCTCAAAGTGGGTGTTGGTTGTAGCCATGCTGGACATAAGGCAGAGCCAGGAGAACACCACACGCCAGCGGGCTCTCCGTGCCTGGAGAAGGGTGCTTGTGCCCCAAAGCTTGCAAAGAACCATTTTTCTAGCTACTTAGCTGATCTAATAAAAGATACGACGTTTATCCAAAGAACCTTGTCTGCCTTTTGTTCTGGGAGGAGCAGAAAGTCAACCTAAGAGCAGAGCCATTTCAAAGCACCAGATCTTTCCTTTATTTAGGCAAGGACTGGTGTCGGCTATGACATGCTGTTCTCTGTGACCTGTTGGCCACACAGCTGCTCCTCGGGCGCTGGAGATCTCAAGTTGTCCTTGGGCTCTACCGAGGCACTCAGGGGGGCCTTCAACAGAGGCGGGGGCTTGAGCTGCTCCCGAGGTGCGTGGCTAGAGGCCCGGCCCGGCCGCGAGGGTGGCAGGAAGGACGTCGTGCCGGCCCCGAGGTCTTCCTCAGGGAGGGGGCAGGAGGAAGCCGGCAGAGAGCCGCGGCCCTTGCCCTTCCTCTCCTCCTCGCTGGTTCCACCCAGCGGCTGTCCCTCATTTTCAAGAGGGGAAAGTCAGACGCAGGACAAAGGAAAATCATCCTCGTCACCGCTTCCGTTTGCCGTCCCCGCTCCCGCCCGTCTGTGCAGGGCGGCTGCTCTCCCCCCGCCGCAGTTGTGTGTTGTCAGCCCCGCCGGGAGCTCGCCTCGCGGCCGGGCCGGGCCTCCCTCATCTGGCCCCGGGGAGGCGGAGCAGGCCGGCCTGGCCCCGGCC